GGAAGCAGGTTGACCACCTGCCCAAAACATCCACGCTCACTCTCTCGCTTGCTTGTGCGCGCTCCTAAGTATACAACAATGCTGCCAGGAGGCTAAACTCCATTACATTTCTATACTTCTAGCAGGGTCACCAAATGCAGAGCAGTCACAGCTGAGGCACCAAACGAAGATGCATCCACTCTCTTGAGGAGAAACACTTTTCATTAGTAGATGAAAATAAATAGTTCCAGTGGTGATGAAGGCAGATAAGGAGGGTAGCTTATGAGCAACAGCAGTAGTGGAAGATGATGCTGGCAGAAGATCTTTCACAAACAGTGGTGGTGACATTCAAGCTACATTTTGTTAGTACTGCATAGGAGGAGACGATGGTAAACCAATGCTAAGTATTTCTTACCTTGAAAAAAAACCTTAGGATGAGGCAGTTCAAAATCGAACAAGAGATAATGCTGGAAGATGAGACTCTCAGTCCAAAGGCACTCAATCAGCTACTGGGAAGAGCAAAAGGCAAGTAAAAATAGTGCTACCACTAATAGCACAACTAGCTTAAAGCTAAAAGCAGGAATGTGCAGTAGCACCAGATTCAGATTCAGAATTTGGATTTGGAATTCAGAATTACAGCCCTTCAGATTCAGAATGTTAAAATTTCTGGAACTTTCTTATGGGCATTATGAATACTATATAATCATTATTCTCCCCTTGAAGAAACACAAAACAAGCAAAATATTGTAATGGATTGTCCTGTGTCCTCTCACACCTTCCCAATGATTCTGTCAGACAAAAAGGTTGCATGGTCATGGAATTAGCAAGGGGAGGGTTAATTTATTCCCTAGTGTCTGTGAAGAGTAGTATTTGATACCTGATGTTGGCTGGATGTGGAACGGGAAGCATCTCCCAATTAGAGAAATTATGCCCGAGACAGGTCTTAGCTACAACCTTGAGGGGTGAAAGAATGTTATTATCTTCTTGGTGTTTCATGGTACCAAAATCAATGAAACCTGTTCTATCTGATTAATTACTTTTGCAGAAGTTACTTAAAGGGTTGAACCATCCAGAGACGGGATGATGGGATATAAGTAGAGGCAGGAGAATGGATCATTTAAGCGTAAACTTGAGCTTATACCTAGCTAGCTTGCTTATCTTCATCTTTCAACACGAGTTCTGTGGCTGTTACTCTTCTGAATTCTGCGTATGCAGTGGAACTATGGAACATAGTAAGTATAGATCTAGTTAGCTTTATTGTTTCCTGCACTGCTCACTCTTAACTACCTACATAAGTCTCTGAATGAGTTTTGTTTTGCTTTTTCACATGATTTTGATCCATCTAGAGACTCCAAAACCAAAATCCATCTAGGGACTCCAAAATCAAAAAGATTACACAGGTTTCTCATGAGGGAAATAGAATGATGCATCGACCGCTGAGAAGTCCTTTGTCTCTTGCGCCCACCAACCTGATGGCTGATCCTGGCAACATACGAGCAGGGCCTTGGAGGTCAGTCCAATGGCTTGCTAGGATGCAGCCATAACTTGGCTCTAAGACATTAGGCTTTTAAAGTAACAACAGCATTCTGAACCAGGCACACTGGCAACTAGCAAGCTGGTACAGGATTTAGTATGATCAGTTGGCCTCCAAAAGCAAATGGAAAGCTGCATTTGTGATGCTTCTTTTTTAAATGCAATGTTTATCTCTTTTGCATATGGAAAGGGAAGTTTCATGGGTCTGTCTTAGCTATGGGCAGTCATCATCAACGCTAACAGCTGAACAGTCTCTCTACTCAACATTAACACTTTTCATGTTTACTGTTTTTTTGGCCAAACAAGCCACCAGTAAGTAAGATATAGTATTTTAGAAGACGTCTTTTAAAAGTGAAATACTGTTGTTGAATATTGTTGGCCAGAACCCTTTTTTTCACACATTGTTATGTGTATACCTCTGGCTTACGGCAACCCTGTGATTTTTTTTCCTGCTGTCTTCAACTTTTCCCAGCACTATTATCTTTTCCAGAGAATCTTGCCTTCTTATGATGTGCCCGAAGTAGGACAGCCTCAGTGTCAACATTTTTACTTTCAGAAATAGTTCAGGCTTAATTTGATCTAGGATCCACTTGCTTGTCTATCTGGTGGTAGATACTTCAAAGAAATCATTTTTTTTCCTGTCAGCTTTCTTCAATGTTCAGCTTTCACTTCCATGTATGGTAATAAGCAGGGGGAGGATTTCTATGACATGTTGTTTCCCCCCTGCCCCCCGCAACCTATGTTTGAGCTTATGGCTGGGTTTAAACACATTTATGAGTGAGAAAGGCCAGATTACTCATAAACATTTTAACTTGCTTATGGATTTAAATGTAGGTTGCAGAGAAAATGTGAAATGTCATAGAAATTCTCCCCCTAGTGATCAGGAATATGAGTGTGGATGGTATTGGTATTAGTCTGCAGTGACACATTGTTACACTTGAGGATCTTTTCTAATTCTTTGTTGCCCTTCTGAGTCTCGATCTTCTGATTTTCTTTGCTGCAATCCCCATTTGGACTGATGCTTGAACCAAGGTATACTATATACGTAAAATCTTCATCGACTTCAATTTTTTCACTGTCGACATTAAAGTTCTATAGTCATGATGTTTGTCTTCCTAGTAGTAAACTGCAGTCCTGCTTTTGCACTTTCTCCTTGTAATTTTACTAAACGTTGTTTTTAAGACATTGCTGCTTTCTGCCAGTAAGATGGTGTCATCTGCATATCTTAAATGGTTGGTGTTTCTTCCACCAGTTTTCATTTCTCCTTCGTCTGAATCTGATCTGGCTTTCCGTATATGTTCTGCACACAGACTGAACAGATAAGGGAATAAAATGCAGCCTTGCCTGACACCATTCTGTCTCTCCATATTCTGTCCTAAAGGTAGCTTCTTGTTCATAACACGCCATGTATCGACATTGCTGCTTTCTGCCAGTAAGATGGCGTCATCTGCATATCTTAAATGGTTGGTGTTTCTTTCACGTTTTCATTTCTCCTTCATCTGAATCTGATCTGGCTTTCCATATATGATCTGCACACAGACTGAACAGATAAGGGAATAAAATGCAGCCTTGCCTGACACCATTCTGTCTCTCCATATTCTGTCCTAAAGGTAGCTTCTTGTTCATAACAGGCCATGTATCAGGACAATTAAGTGCTGAGGCACACCCATTTCTTTCAAAATGACCCATAGTTTGTGATCTACACAAGAACTTTGTTGTAGTCTATAAAGCACAGAATGATCATCTTCTGAAGTTCTTTGGTGTGCTCCAGCAGGCAGTGGATACAGTATTTGCAATCTGATAATGAGTGCCTCTTCCTTTTCAGCTTGAACATCAAACATTAAATCTTTGCAGTAACAGCATCAGTGATCAGAGTGAGGCTCCCTCTTGTCTTAAGAATCCATCCTCAGGTAGTTGCTGAACAACAGTTCAAGGAAGCATTTATGGTTGGGGCTTAAGACAAGGGATGGAGTGAAGTTCTAGGTGGCCCAGAAAGAGGTAACCATCCAGAATGCTTAAGCAGAAAGAAAGAAAGAAAGAAAGAAGGAAAAGAAAGAAAGAAAAGAAAGAAAGAAAGAAAGAAAAGAAAGAAAAGAAAGACAGACAGACAAGAGGTCAAGGAGGCAAGTATGGATGAGAGGCAGAGAGAGTGAGGGAACTGTGAGAGACCTTGCAAGACAGAATTGGAAGTCCAGGACTAGGTTCTGGAAAACCTCGGCCACCACCATGATCCTTCATACTGAAATTCAGTCTGTAGCCAAGTTGTTTTATACTAGCATCGAATAAATTAGAAAGTGAGCATGTATAGACATATTTTTCTGATAAATGGATCAGTTGTACATTTTATTTGAAACCTAAGTGTAAAGGTTGAGAAAGCAATAAGATCAATATGTAATGTATCAAAACACCGTATTTTTCTGTGTATAAGATGCCCCACATATGATGCGCACCCCCCCTTTTCTAACCCAGAATTTCTTTCTTCGTAAGGAAAGTGGAGGGGAAAAGCACTTCTCTCACAAGAAAGCACCCTCTTGCGAGGAAAGTACTTTCCCTCTCCACCTTCCTCACAAAAGGTGGAGGGGAAAACCAGGAATCAAAGTGCTTTGATGATTCCTGCTTTCCCCCTCCACCTTCTCAGCAAGAAAGTGGAGGGGGAAAGCAGGGATCAAAGCTCGTCTGAATAATGTAGTAAATCCTACTGACAAATGTGTATGCATCTATGTATTTAACCTTATGCTATTTTTCTTTAATTCCCTTCTAATTTTCTTGTTTCAAATAAACCCACAACATCTGTGCTTGTGCTTTTGTATTAACCCTAAAGCATCTGATGAACTTTGGTTCAGGAAGGGTTATGGTATTAAAATAATAATTTAATAATAATAAAGTTTATTGCAGTCATATGACCTGCACAAATACATATAGACAGTGAATACAAAAAGAAAGGACAAGAAACTAACACAATGGTCAAGTATCAGCAAGCAACACAGCCCTTCTATCTATGGCAGCCATGAAGTTAGCCACTAGAAATGCCACCACCAGGGGAGAGCAGCTAGGTAACACATTACAGCATTAATTTCCGAGATTAACAAGACTCATTGTAGACATAAAATCATTACGAACAACCCTGCAGCCTGGAAAATAGACATTATTTTTTGGGGTTTCTCTTGTTTTGCATCTGCCATCAATACCACAATCACTTTTCTTAGGAGTGCGCCTGCAATGTTATATTCTTCTTTTTATCCCCCCATCACTAATTAGATCCCACCCACTCCCATTTTTTATCTGTTGCAACTTGTACAACTTATATTTGCTAATGGGATCCCCCCCTCTTTTTCAGTTACAGTGGACCCTCGACTTACAGAATTAATCCATATTGGAACGGTGGCCGCAGGTCGAAAATTCCGTAGGTCAAGGGTCCGTTTCCCATAGGAATGCATAGAAAACCATTTAATCCATTCCAGCCAAAGAAAAAAAAATCCCGGACTTCCAAAGCTGCACCTGCTGCCCTCTGTCTCCCGTCCCTGGTGCCCTCTGCCTTCTGTCCCTGTGTGGACAGAAGGTAGAGGGCACCGGAGATGGGAGACAGGGAGAGCAAAGGGATTTTTGAAGCTCGGAAAGCCGAAAGCTGCTCTGCGCTCACTGCCAGCTTTCTGAGCCGCTCCTCCCCCGCTGCTGGCTTTTGGCTTTCCAAGCTTCACAACTCCCTTCGCTGTCCCTGTCTTCCATCCCTGGTGCCCTCTTCCTTCTGTCCCTGTAGGGACAGGAGGCAGAGGGCACCAGGGAGAGGAGACAAGAGGGCAGCAGGAGCTGCTTTGAATTTCCCGCCCTTTCCCCCGTGCCTTTCATAGGTGGAAGCTCCGGCCACAAGCCGAACTAAAATTTTGCGGCCGGAGCTTTTCGTACCTCGAAATTTTCGTAAGTAGCGACCTTTTAAAGTCGAGGGTCCACTACATTTTCCTTCCTTTTTTAAAAAAATACTGTTTTAGCACATCATGTATGAGAGCATCATGAGTGAGGACTTAAGGTTTTTCCCTCTGAATATGTATTTGAATACCATGTCTGTGCCATTGTCGCATTAAATACATAAAGTGTGAAGTCTTCTGTATTATAAGATGTAACTGTATACTGATGTCTTGACTTACGAACATTCTGACTAATGATCAATTCGAGTTACGACCAGCTCCGGCTGCAAAATTTTGCTTTGACTTGTGGCCGGAGCTTCCAGTTACGAACACAAAAAGTCAGGGGGAAAAAGGTGGGAAATTCAAATTGCTAACTGTTGGTGGTGAAGAGGTTGCTTCTCTGTAGCTCTTTCGCCCCAGCAATTAAGAGTGTGTGCGATCGGAGGAGGCTTCAGACTGCCTGGTAAGGTGCTGCTTTCTGCTTTTTAAAAACTGCCTGTTCTGGGTGTGTTTTGGCTGGGGGGGGTTAATGTTTCTGTGATGTGATGGGTCTTGCAGTCTTTGTTTTTTTGGGATTTTTTCCCACGTTTCTGATGGGTCTTGCAGGGTTTGTTTGCTTTTTGGGTTTCTTCCCCTTTGACCAGAACAGATTAATCGTGTTTCCAATGGGTTTTGTAGTGGGTTTTGTTGTTGTTGTTGTTTTTTCCGGCCGGAATGGATTAATTGCATTTCAGTACATTCCTATGGGAAATGGTGCTTAGACTTGCGACCATTTCGAGTTGCGACCATCTTCTGGAACTGATTAAGTTCGTAAGTAAAGGCACCACTGTACTTTTAGTTTGGGGCTGGTCAAGTATGAAGTGGATGTACTATTTTTCATTTTGTTTTATGTAATATTTTGGAATATTACGTACTTGTAAGATTCTATTAAACACAAACCAATTTTACCTAAGCTGAAGGAACTTGATACTGATATAGATTTTCTGCGAGAAACTCAATAATTAAAAAATGTTACGTATGGATTGGGTGAGAGATGTTTATGTTACAGATGCATCTAATTGCTCTAAAGTGGTGGCAATATTGATTTATATGCTTTTCTCTTCAAGTCCAGCAAGTGATTATGGATCACTTTCTCATTTTGGCTGTAGAATGTTCTAATTCTGTTATTGCTAGGATTACTTATTTATTTATTTAGAAGTTTTTTTTTAAGCCGCGTTATCACCAATGGTCTCTGACCGGCGTACAACAATACTGAAAGTTTAGAAAACATTAAAACCATTTAAAATAGGCAATATTATAGTAATACCCTCTATTAAAACAGTCAATTTATCATTAATAAATCCTGCTGCTCATATGGCCAGCTAAAGGATACTAATTAATTAATTAATTAATTAATTAAAAAGCTGGCTAAACAGAAAGGTCTTTGCCTGGCGCCGAAAAGCCAAAAGTGTTAGAGCCAGGCAGATCTCTATAGGGAGAGTGTTCCAAAGTTGGGTGGCAACAGCCGATTAATATTTACAGTCCAAATGTTGATTCTCCAGACATGTTTTCTCAATGTTTCAGCTATCTGATAAATATTAAATATGCTTATGTATTGATTGGTAGTGTTCCAAAGTTGGGGGGCAACAGCTGATTAATGTTTACAGTCCAAATGTTAAATATGCTTATGTACTGATTGGCGGGAATCTTAATGATATTATAGATCCAATTTTAGATAGGAGCACACACCCATGTAAAGAATACTCTTTTGTGTGACCTAGACAAAAGGGCTATATGTCGGAACCACGCCTGATTGATCTTTGTGCATTCTACACTCCAATGATAGAGATTACACTGCTGTCTCTTCAGTGCATCCTTTTTCCAACTTGATTATTTTGTTTTACTTTCTTTGATGCCTCAGATTAAAATGTGCATCACAGAGGTGGCAATAATAAGGGAACATACACCCATTTCATTAACCCTTCAGTCTCCAGACTGAGTTAGATCACCTGGCAATAGGTGTTTTAATGTTTCTTACTAAATGAAGAGATATTTAAAGCCCAAATGTTGGATGTATTATCAGAATACTTTAATATAAATGGAGGATCAAGTAGCACTCACATTATGGAGTAGGAAGTATGTAAAGCCTTTATAAGAGGGAGAATCCTTGCCTACGCTTCCCACAAGAAGCAGCTCAGAACCATGAAAGTAACTCTGAAAAACAAGATTCTAGTATCTTCCACACCTGAACTTTATCAGGACTTGCAAAATGGTAAATATGAATTAAATAATATACTCTCAGAGAGGGCAGAATATGCTTTAACATGTTTGCATCAATCTTAATGAGAAAGCGACAAGAGACTAGACATGAAGCTGGCACATCATCTTAGATAACAAAAGAGTAAAAATTATATCCCACCTTACAGTTTAGGCCTTTTCTCCTGGGCCAGACACATTTAGGTGTCTGTAAGGTGTGTGTAAATAAGAGAGAACTCCCAAAACGGGGATTTACGAGATGTGTAGTCCAACAAAAAAAATCCTGTTCCTGGCATGCAGTTGCTTAGCTGATCGTTCTGGAAAGAAAGGCTGGGAGCTACAGAAGACTTGCTGTTCTCAATGAACCAGGCAGCCCAGAGTCAAGGAGCAGACTGTGTTTTCTACTATTTCATAGGTACAGGGTCCCATACTGCTTGATGATTGCCTTGGTAGCTCACTCCAGAGTGATTCCTACTGAGGCTAGGGCCTCTGTGGCCCACTGGGGGTAGTTGTGCGAGTTTTGATACATGGTCTTCATGAAATCCTGAACAAACTGTGGGAATCTCTGCTCCATGATGCTTTCTTGTATTGAACTCATCAGGTTCAGCTGGAAAGGAAGAGGATTGACACCGTCTGTTCAGTAGGGCGTATTTTTAACACTGTGGGTGTCATAGCAGACACAACCAAGAACAAGGGAAGAACAATTACAACCAACTAGAGAAAAATCAAACTAATAATCAGCATTGTATTCCTACTACTACTACTACTACTACTACTACTACTACTACTACTACTACTACTACTAGTAGTAGTAGTAGTAGTAGTAGTAGTAGTAGTAGTAGTAGTAGTAGTGGTCGCAATGACCAGATAGGCGGGGTATAAATGGAATAAATAAATAAATAAATAGATAAATAAATACCACCACCACATCTTAGCCCAAAGATTAAGATTATAGAACTACCCTGCCATCTGATCTGTTATTGAATTAACCTCGCTATGCGAGGCACAACTGTAGTTAATCTGCAAACTAAAGCTTTTTAAACAGCAAATCCAGAAACAAACAAACAAACAAAAACACTAGATAGTTAATCTGCAAACTAAAGCTTTTTTAAGCAGCAAATCCACTTTAAACAGCAATCCCACAAAGGGGTGGACAGCATGCAAAGAGAATGACACTGAAGTCTGAACCTCAGATTCTAATATGAAGCAATTCATACTGTCTGCAAAACTAAATTATACAAACTGTTCTGATAGTACATGATTTATTCCGCTTATCAGAGCCTTCTCCTCCCCCCCCCCAAAAAAAGGAAAACATCAGCCATGATCATAAAGAAAGAAGGTCAGGAAAAAGAAGGCAGTGGGAGACAAGAAGGAAGAGAGTGACCCACAGCCACTATCAGTAGAGTGGAGATGGGGAATGTGTGGCCTTCCTGATTTTTTTGGACTGTAATGCCCACTGGCTCTAGCAACTAGAACCAATGCTGAAGATACTGGGAGTTGTAATCCAGAAACATCTGGAAGGCTACACATTCCTATTACAGAAGAGGGTGAAGCCAATAAGAGAGGAAAAGAAAACAGCTGCTCTGCTTTCTTGGCCCCAAATCATTGCTAAGACAAAAATCCACTGACACCCTTGGAGCAAAAGAAAGGCTTCTGATTACAATACAGAGTAAAAGACAAACCAACCTGGTAAGCAATGTTATGTATGGTTATGTGGTGCATGGCAGCCGTGTCGTGGCGGAGGAGGGCACTCAAGAAAGCTCGGCTATACCTGCCAAAAGACCAAGGAGAAACAAGAACGTTACTTTTGTGACCTGCAACCTGACTAAGACAATTTAGACATAAAGCTAGAAGCCAAAAGAAGGAATATTCCAAAACAAAACAAAACAAAACAAAACAAAAAAAACAGGCTACAAAAGAGGAACACAGGCATTAGTGGTTAAGGGATGTCTCTTAAAGAGCAATTTTAACATACAGCATTGGGAGGTAATTTTTCGCTGCACATCAGCCTTTATTTATTTATTTATTGGATTTCTATCCTGCCCATCTAGACCAAAGCTCTACTCTGGGAAAAGGTTGCCAGGACTGTTATTCTACAGTGATATTTTCTTTTATAATTCCTGGCTCAATAAAACAGCATGAGTATCTATATATACCTAACAGCCCACCCAGTGTCAAAAACCCAGCAAGGAGGAGGACCATACAAATACCGGGAGGGAGAAATGAAAGAAAAAGTGGCAAAAAGGATCAGCTGCCAGGTGAGACACTGTACAATCCCATGAAGAATTTAAAGGCAAGCTATTGAAATGTAGCATGACGTTTCATAGGTGGAGTCCTTTACCCGGATTTATTCTGTGACTGTCAGGTCAGCTTCCCTTTTTTCCACACTAATAGTTTTTGGTTTTTTTGTTTTTTTTACTTTATGAGCATTAAGAGAGACACCACAGTGTGTCCGGGAGCTACTGATCCATTATGGCTCTTTCCCAGATGTAACCCACAGGCTATTCTGTACAGTATTGGGGGAGGGGGGGCACAACTGTGTTCAGGGATTCCATCCAAATCTGTGGGACCTTCTCGGTTTTGAGCTCCGGTCTGGAGTGTCTGCACTTTACAGTGGGGCACAGGGGTAGGTTCAGGACAGTGCCAGGGCTGGCCGAGTTCATCTTGGCTACGGTGTAGAGGTCGCCCCGATGACTGACAGCCGAGGATTTCTACATTCTTGCAGAGTCTGGAGTTTCAGGGCTGGCCCTGGAGTTCACAGGTTCCATGACAGCCATGAACCTATCCCAGCTTGTCACCAGCTTCACTCAAAAGCTAGCCACACTCCGGATTTCCCAGAAGTGATCTGAGGGTGGGGAACATGACCTCTTGCCCGGTGTCGTGGACAGATCACTTCCTGTTGAGATTTAATCTGTACATTGCAAACCCCCCCCCCCCCCGTGGAGAGAATAGACTGATAAGAATGGTCTGCCCTCACAGGCTTCTTGACCCTGATGGGTTTGGGGAGGGTATCCAGCTGACCCAGTAGACAATCCTGTTCAAGTCCAGGTCTAAATACGGTATGTAGAGGCAACCTGGTCGGGAGATAGGATCACCCCCCAAACACTCTCTCTGCTTCAGAGCTTGCTCTGTTACCTGGTACACTGAGACGCTTCGAGCAATGACGCTAACTAGGAAACAGCTAGAGATCAAGTGGGCAAAGGATCAGCCTGACCATTTTGGCTGCTGTTAAAGAGTGTGTCCAGGAGATACGCCAATGCCTTAAAACTGGCCAAAAGGGTGTTCACTAGTAAGATCATTAATGAGGTCATGAACCTCCAGGCAGAACTCTTCTGGGTGGTTCATGGCCTCATGAACCCTGTTTTTTAAAGGCCTTGTTTTGCTTTTATCACCAAAACCATGTGCAGCCTTCTTAAAATAAAAACCTGAGGCCATTCGGGCTGATCTTGACTCCAACCAGCAGAGAGCGCTGCTGCGCCCCCTCACTTTGCCTGCTTGGTTCAGTTTGACCGTGTTAACAGCAGAGGAGGTTTGCTGGCTGGCTGCAAACCGACCCCCTCTGGGCTCAACCCTTGGCTAAAAAAAAGCAGCTAGAGGGGCTGTGGTGGACTGGATGACAAATATAGTTAATTCCTCTCTGAGGGAGGAGTTCCTTTCCCCTCCCGTAGAAGAAACTATCATCTGCCCTATCAGCAAATGCCCTCAGCTGACGATGGATGATCTCAAGAGGTTTGCTGGCTGGCTGCAAACCGACCCCCTCTGGGCTCAACCCTTGGCTAAAAAAAAGCAGCTAGAGGGGCTGTGGTGGACTGGATGACAAATATAGTTAATTCCTCTCTGAGGGAGGAGTTCCTTTCCCCTCCCGTAGAAGAAACTATCATCTGCCCTATCAGCAAATGCCCTCAGCTGACGATGGATGATCTCAAGCCATGAAAGGGACCATATGGGAAGATATATTCACTTCAAACAAAACCACCGTGCTGGCAATTAATTCCTCTCTGAGGGAGGAGTTCCTTTTCCCTCCTGTAGAAGAAACTATCATCCGCCCTATCATCAAATGCCCTCAGCTGGCGATGGATGATCTCAAGCCATGAAAGGGACCATATGGGAAGATATATTCACTTCAAACAAAAACACAGTGCTGGCGATCATTATAATGAATTGCTATCCTGTTGTTGTTAAGTGCTGTGAAGTTGTGTCTTATTTACATACTTGCTGGATATCTCAGCAGTTTTTGGCATCTGTCTGTGGAGCCAGAGTTTGGGAGACCTCTTCCTCTCTGTGCCTGTTTGACAAGGTCTGGACTCAACGATCCATAGGGTCCCCTCTAGCTCTGCAGTTCTAATGTTATTGTTCTGGCTTACCTGTCCAAATGATCATGGACAAACAGACTGAGGCCCCATAACTCTAAACCTTGCCAGTATGGGCGTCTGGGACCAATGCTCTGGTCAGAGAGTTATTGCCAAAGCTCAGCAGCAGCAGCATATAACTCTCACAAGGATCCTGTCCTCCCTGATTCCTCACTTACAAGCACTTTTTACGTTTCCAGACACGGATGAAAAATGGTCTGGACTCTGGCTAAGCACTCCATTCTTCACATGGCCCTTGGTGGTCTGAGAAGGCAAATGGAATCATGTATGCCAGGGGACTCTAAGGGTCAGCACTCAAAAAAAAGGGAAGACCCAATTCCAAGCACACCAACCTCTGGCAGGTGGGACAATGGCAGTTCTGGTCAATTGGCCGGAAGTCCTTGGCATACTGCTTGTTCTTCAGTTGCAGGGAGCCACTGGGGACCAAGGCTGAACCAAAGCGCTGGAAACAGACAAGCAAAAGAGATCTATAGATTTAGGGAAACGCTACAAGGACTCAGTTTGCACCCTGGTTTGTGGGCCACTTCTTCTACAAACGAACCCTGCTTTTTCTTTAAGTACCCCCCATCCCCAGTTTTCCCCAAGTGATGAAAGGCTGTTTCCTCACAGCTTGCAGCTCCCAGTTTCTCTCATAGCTTCGGAGCTACTTACGGCAGTCCTTGTGGGAAAGACACAGTCGAACATATCACAGCCCAGAGCCACACACACCACCAGATCTGTAGCGTAACTTGTTGGGAAACAGAGCAGAGAGATGCATTATTAGCCAATGATGCAGCTGACTGATTCAGCTTGCTCACTCCCTGTCTATAGCCCGGACTGCTACAGTATATGCCATCCTCCCCAAGGACATGGATGTCAATGCTTTATGGTAACTTTGCACCCTGCCCTTGCATGGGCACCGCACCCTCAAAACACTCAAGTCATTTGACTTCAGCAGACAGGATGACTGTGACAGCCTGGGAATACTACAGGTTTAGCTCCATTGTCAGCAACAACATAGTGTGTCATACCCAGCTGGACCTCAAGAGAAAGAGATAGTCCTTGCACCAGAAAGCTTTGCTTGATGCGCAACATCTAATCATACCCAACTCCCATAAGATAGCGAGGCTTGTTCCTTGGAAGGTGATTTGTGGTGAGGGCCACCATCCTCCAGAAGTGATCTTTGGCTTCACCACCACTCAGGCCCCCAATGGCAAAGCCTGGAACGTCACGTTTAGTCATTTCTGATAGAGGGAAAGAGGGAAGGGAGGTGGTCATTAGGGTGAGAAACTCCTTCCTTCAAGGAAACACCACTTACAAGAGAGTTAAGACAAGAAAACTACCCAACAGAAGCAGCTTTCTAAAGTTCCTAATGTGAACTCTCATGGGTGAAGAAAAAAAACAATGAGGTGAAAGTGTGGTTTCACCAGCTGATGTAAACCATTCCTTTTCCCCGGTCTGTGCAAAGTTTTTCCAAATATTATTGGAACCACTGTATGTATCTATGATGATAGGAAATCCATGTACAGTATTCCCTTTTGCCAACATTTGGAACAAATTATTTTTGGACTACAATTCCCAGAGTCCTCTAGACATTACAGCCAACGGACATGGTGTGTGGGGGATTTTGAGAGTTGTAGTCTAAAAATTAAAATTTCCAAGCTTGCTTATGGAAGTTAAGATGCGACAGAAGGAATACCTACCTACCTCTAGCAGATTCTGCCAACAGTGAGCTTTATCCCTTTTTTAAAACAATGTTTATAAACAAAACTCACCACTCATAAAAAAGTCACTAAAGCCTTTTTAAAAAAGGCAAGTACAGTGGTGCCTCGCAAGATGATTGCCTTGCGGGACGATTAATCCACAAGACCATTAGTTTTTGCAATCGCTGTTGCGCTTCACAAGACAGTTTTTTCCTATGGATGATTTTCGTAAGACATGTTTGGGTCTATGCTTCACAAGACGATTTTTTTTAAGAGACGCTTTTTCGAAAGACAATGTTTTTGACAGTTGGGTCCGCGACTTGCAAGATGATTTTTTTAACGGACACTTTTTTGCAAGACTAATGTTTTTCTATGATATTTATAAAGCTTTTTTATTTGACTTTGTTCTGACTTTTTTTTGCCCATAGGAATGCATTAATTAGATCTCAATGCATTTCTACGGGAAAACGCGTTTCGCAAGACATTTTTTCCACAAGACGACGATTCCCCCCCCCCATTGGGACACATTAATTAGATTTTAATGCATTCCTATGGGGAACCGCATTTCGCAAGACAATGTTTTCACAAGACGACATTTTTCGTGGAACGAATTAACATCGTCTTGCGAGGCACCACTGTATTGCTTTAATGTACATCCTCAGGGAAAACGCGTTTCGCAAGACATTTTTTCCACAAGACGACGATTCCCCCCCCCCATTGGAACACATTAATTAGATTTTAATGCATTCCTATGGGGAACCGCATTTCGCAAGACAATGTTTTCACAAGACGACATTTTTCGTGGAACGAATTAACATCGTCTTGCGAGGCGCCACTGTATTGCTTTAATGTACATCCTCGTGGATAAAGCTGGCAACCACCACAACTAGAACGTTATCTCATTAGCCTACCAGTTAAAGCTCAAGTTGCGACTTCCTACGTAGGCAGATTATGACCAGAGCTGGGAGGAAGCCTGTCCCAAACCACTGGGCTAACAACCCCTTCCCAGGCACATAAGCTGCACCTAACTTTCTTGGTCTTGCACACTTTTTTGGCAGACTTTCTTGGCCAGAAACAGTATGAGAAGCTGAGGCTGGCAGAAGACAAATTGCCCAAAGCAATCAATGGCAATGAGATTCAATCTAACTCCCTCTGGTCCTGTCCTCAAATTTCAAGCAGAACAAACTGGTAGATGGAGACACAAGTCGGTGAAGAACAACAACAACAACAAATTAAGACACAGAAGTTAGCTCACCTTCCAGGCACTTGGTTCGAAGAGCAGGATCCAGACCACCTTGGATAATAGCAAACAGACTCTGCTGGCTAGGCTTGCCGTGGGCTGCAATACATCTGTCAAGCCAGCGAATAGACCTGCAACATACAGGTCCCGGCTAGATTAAACAGAAGCACCTGGTCATTCCAGGTACTCTTTCTTAGGGCCTCCACTATACAGGCCAAACAGGGAGGCACGCTGACTTGAGATTTGGATGTGTGCTCCTGTCCTTGGAGATCTACAATCAGAGAAATAGAAAGCTTCCCTTCTAGACAGTAGATTTGGACAAGCAACCTCTCGCCCTGCACGTGTTGATAAGACAGCAGTCCCATCAGCCATAGCCAGAATAGCGGGCAATGAAGGACAACAGGAGTGGTAGTCTAGCAAGCACTGGAAGGTCGCCGCTTCTCTTTCCTTTAGTAAATAGGGACGCCTCATCCTTGTACTGTCTGCATAGATGCTTTGCACAAATGATATTCAGGATGGTGGGGAACTTAGCAAAAAGGTACTAAGATAAAGCAAAAGAACTAAATTTCTATCTGGTTATGAGTATAATTCCTTTATTCATCTCTACCAATCACCTTATTTATCTTCATATATTCTGGGTTACAGAAGCCATTCCCACAAGATATAAAGCTCTCTGAACTGATTTACCACCACCACCCCACCCTTTCTGTTCATGCTCTGGGATCATACAGCTTCCTCTTTATTTTTTCTAACTGTAATTTTTTTTAAAAAAAATAACAATAGTTAATATGTAATTAATTTATATTCTGTCTTCCAGATAAATGCTCAGAGTAAGTTTTTTATATATAAAAAACTTACTCTGAGCATTTATCTGGAAGACAGAATATAAATGGGTTTTAATGCATTCCAATGGGGGAACTGTTATCGCTGGACGATATTTTCGCTTAACAGCGATTTCAGGGGAACGGATTATCATCGTGGTGCGAGGCACCACTGTACATGAGATCTCTATGGTTTCATGTACTCAAACTACTGTAAAGGTTTAACCGGAAATAGATAAAAGTTTCAGGATTGGACAAGTAAAGCAAACCAAAAGACCACATAGACAAGTACCACATGAGCTGGAAGGGGCTGGGTTTTGCCACTGACTGGGGTTACAAAGGATACGAAAGGGCACAAGACCCAGCACAAACCTGAACATGGCTTCCTCTACACGGGGACCAGTGACTGTGCTGCTGACCACATCATCTAACTGCATCATGATATCAGATCCTGAGGGGGGGAAAAGGCAGTGAGTGTTGGAGGAAAGAGCTGAGTTTCTAAGCCACTTTCTGGGTCACCTTCTTCTACATTTTACCATATTATTCATATATATGACATTTGCAAGGTATTGTAATAAGAAAATAACAGTGACAAGAAGGGCATGCCCCCAATTACTACACGCCACGACAGAGTTCAGTAGGTGATATTATACAGAACAGAATAATTACCAAGCGCTTTCTGTATTTCAATGGATTTTTCTGGAGTCAACAGTATCTCTTTTCCATCATAAGGAGAACAAAAGCGTACTCCTTCCTCCGTCACCTCAGAGAGCTCCACCAATGAGACCATCTGAAACCCACCACTGTCCTGCAGAAGAAGTATGGCATCATGATGAGAACTGAGAGAGACAGATTTGCTCTGATACTTTGCTCTATATAACCACTGAGAGAGTTGGATTTGATACGCAAGTGCAGGATGAAGAGAAGAACAGAGATAGAGAAAAGATTGTGACTAAAACAATCTTTCTGCTCCTATTGTATTTATTTAATCCTCAGCACTGGCGATCTTCAGCTAATCTGTACATCCCAGGAGCCAGTGGAACTCTGTGCCTCATTCTATTCCTGCCAAAGCAAACCGCTCCAACGATTTGTCCACAGTCATACTGAGACTCTGAAGCAGAACAACAGCCAATCCTTTCTCCCAACAAACAGTTCAGAAAAAGTGACGTTTACTGCTCAGTAGAACAATGAATAAATGAATGAGGATCAAAACTTCTTATTTCATACTTTCAGCAACAGAAACTCTTCAACCAAAAGGAAACTATTGATTTTACTATAAGCAAATACTCAATCTGTCAGCATAACCATGCTCAAACTTTCTTTCCATTTTAACACTCACAATAGGTTTATAGTTTAGATGAACAGATTTTCCTACATGCTTCAACCGTAACATGTAATATAGGAAATAGCACCTTAACCACAGAATAATGCTGTCAACAGGTGTTCATGGCTGTCCTAGTTGCATGTCCTGGCCTTTCCTTTTCAGAGTTTGGCAAAATAATATTTTTCCCTCTTAGCTGATCCTGAATCATCACAAGATAGAGCTCTCCCCTCTCTGTAGTTCTCCTGGCAAAGGATCTCTGGTTTCTTTGAATTGTATCAGGCAAGAAAGATCTTCGGGGACTAGCAATAGGAAATTCTTTGCTGACTGTGCCGCCAGGACTCACGGAATGAGGAGTGCAGTGGTGGCCTTGGGCTTGTTATGATGCTGGGAGATAAGCCGAGGTGCGGTATTGGTGGTTCATCGGCTCCCTGTGAGTGTGCACGTGGGTGTTGTAATGGACACTGTCCCTGTTTTGATGGGAAATTTTGCCAACATTTCCACGGATGTTTTGTCATTTTTTTGTGCTTTTAGAGGAATGTCTGAGCAATGCAGTCTCCTCTTCACATGGGCTCTGAGTGTACAGCATGGCAGCTACTCAATCAGCATAAGAACATAACTGAAGTACAGGAATATTCAATTCAAAGGTAACATTAAAAATGAACAAGCTGCAGTTCTATGCACATGGAATAGAAAGTAATTCCAGTGAACATAATGGAACTAAATTCCAAGCAAAAATAGTTCAGATTGAACTATAAAGCACATTTACAAAGAATTTACTTCCACCTGATACAAAATGCTGGACTCTATGCCTATTTCACAAGTCACTTATTCTGATTTTTGCCAAAAGGTAAAGCTCAGCCATAGAGAAAGCCTTGTTTTCCAATGACACGTGACTTCATTATACTCACTGTGAGCAGGTTCCGTGACCAGTTCATAAATAGACAAGCTATGCTTTCTCAGTTGCAAACATCTACTTGCATATATGGAGATACCACCAGATCAGTGTTTTGAGGATTATAACATCATCATGGATATGCAGAATCTTGAAATTCTGAAGCAGATAAATATTATCTTCTTCTTCATGCTAAATGTTTTGAGCATTGAATATTGCATTTGTTCAGCCAGTCACTTCTTCCAATGCATAAATTGTTTCTGACACTGTGGTGTAAACTGAATGAAACTGTTGAATTCAATGTTGAATGGTAAGCATTGGCTTCAACGCTGAATGATAGACATTGGCTTTGCCATTCAACAAATGATTCAGTGGATCACTACTCCTACTATTGACTAACTAAAATACTGTTTTTGTCTTGGTCTAGGTAGAAGAACAAGAAATTCAGCACATACTCTGAATTTACTGTTATTACTTGCAACAAAACTTAGTCGGAGTTGATGCAGGCTTCACAACAGAGAATTTACTGATTTAAAAGATGTATTTTATTTATATGCCCTTTCTCCTGATAGGGGATCCAAGGCGGCTTACAACAGATTAAACTATTAAAAAATTCTATCCAGAAAACTATATATAGAAACCAATTGAGAAAACAAATACAGGAACTTCACTATGCCTAGGTATCAGCTGGTTCACCCTGAAACAAACTGTAACAGCAAAGTGTCCATGCTCCTCTAATTGAAGTCTTATTTTGTGTAAAACATTCAACTTTCCTTAATTTATAAATCTCATTTCCAAATCAGGAAATGAATATAAGCCTTAAAGGAAAAGACCTGTATCTATTTGTCAGAAGGTCCAGTTTTAATGGTCATGAGGGACAATTTTCTAGCAATAACAAAAGTTTCTACAGAGGAAAATCATCCTCCTGTGAAGGCATGTTCTTTGTGCTAAGCATCCAACAAACAACAATCTGTCACTTGGGTGGTCTTTGTAAGGAAATTTCACACAGATGGTGCGCTGTCTGATGCTTTTTTTAATCCACTGTTGTGGTGCAGAAACAACAACGGAAGAAGTGGAGAGGAATGCTTTTTTTTCTGTTGAATGTTGCCTATGTATGTAAAGTGCTGGGTTAGCAGTTCTAAGCTAGAAAAAAAAATTCACCAACATATTTTGCCCAGTGTGTTAATACGGTTCAACCAGTGTTGTCACCACATATAACCGAGTGTGCTGTGTGAGCAAGTTGTACCTCTCTATGTGTTTAAAAACAACAACAGTAAATACTATTTTCTGTGAGAAGCAGTTCAAAGATTTCTAATACTTCTTCTTTGTCTGCCTCCTTCTTTGGCCCTGGTTATTCTCAGCAGATTTATCTGGGTGCTCCATGTTGAACACCTTTCATGACATCAGTTATGCCCCTTTGCTCTTTCCTTGACCAAACTGGATAAGCAAGAAGAAGCTGCTTTCCTCCATTTAAGTCCTCTGCTCCTTGAATGTAAACACAGACATATTTATCTTTGATGGGCAGTTACTCTGTGATGAATTCTGACTCTCTGAAGGAACCCTGATTACAAAACAACTGATACTGTAGTGTATCTTCACCATGAACAGAACTCTTCATTATCCAGTAAATAGATTGTTTATGCACGCGGTAGAGTTTTAGATTACACTGGTGCCTCGACTTACAAACATCCTGACATATGACCATTTTGAGTTACGACCAACTCCGGCCGCAAAATTTTGCTTTGACTTGTGGCCGGAGCTTCACGTTATAACCAGAAAAAGGCAGGGAATTCAAATTGCTAACCCTTGGTGGCGAAAAGGCTGCTTCTTTGCAGCTCTTTGGCCCAAACAGTTAGAGTGAGTGCGATCAGAGGAGGCTTTGGACTGCCTGGTAAGGTGCTGCTTTTTGCTTTTTAAAAACTGCCTGTTCTGGGTGGGTTTTGCAGGGTGGTTTTGGGCTGGGTGGCTGGATTAAGTTTCTACAGTGGACCCTCTACTTACGGAATTAATCCGTATTGGAACGGTGGCTGCAAGTCGAAAAGTCTGTAGGTCGAATCTCCATTGACCTTCAATGCACTGAAAACCGATTAATCCCATAACTGACAGTTTGTATTCTATTTTTGTTCCATTTTGGTTCTTTTCTGGTCTGTAAGTCGATTCTCCGGCTGCAAGTCGAATCAAAATTTTGCGGCCAGAGAAGTCTGTAACTCGAAAAGTCTGTAAGTCGAGCCGTCTGTAAGTCGAGGGTCCACTGTATGTTGTGATGGGTCTTGGGGGGGTTTGTTTGCTTTTTGGTGTTGCCCCCCCCAATTTCCGATGGGCCTTATGGGGCTTGTTTGCTTTCAGGTTTGCTTTTTTTGCATTTCCAAAGGGT